TTCCTCGGAATTATTTCCTACCAAGTATATAACTATGGTAACTATTAAACAATCGGTTGAATATAATTTAATGATTATACTTCTTAATTCATCTTCAGTTTCTACTGTGTGTTTTAAAATTGTAATTTCATCTTGAAAAAAAAATTGCATTATCCTACGTATATTTTAATTGCCCAAGTTCGTTGCATTATTTTTGGACTTTTAACGATTTGGTTAGGGCTGTTGTTGAATAGAAATATATGTCTATGTTTTCCATCTCGACGACGACAGAAGAATTCAATAAAGAACTAAATTTCTTCATTATTTCGCACTTGATTCTCACGCTTCTGCATCAGCCTATAAGATAAATTCTGTTCAAATTGTGTTCAAAAGTTCAAGTGAAAAATTGATAATTGAGCTTTTGAATAAAAGCCCAACTAAGTCCAAAAAAAATTATCAAAAAGTTGATTTTCGAAGGATTCAATATTTATTTCGGAGGATACTTTAATTAATAAAATTTATTCATGATAAAGATGATTAAAAAGTAAGTTATTAAAAAGAAATTTTATGTTAAATAAGAAGATGATGGAAGTGTTATTAGCCTTGATCACACTTTAGAAAGAGAAGTTACAACATATATAAAGAGAAGTTAAGCTTTGCTTACTTTACTCGTGATTTTACTATTTCAATTTTATTTTATTTTTTTTTATTTTTTTTTTTCAAAAATATCAAATCAAATACTCAATTTTATTTATTTTATTATACTAAAATCTAATTTTACATTAAAAACATCACATCAATACATATTAATATCAAATCAAATAACTATTTCAATTTAAAAATTTAATATTAAAATCAAAACCAAAAACCAAAACTTCACAAGTAATCTGTAATTTTGGAGAGATGACACACGGTCATAACACACCCACAAATTATCTTTTTTTTTTTATTATTATTATTTTTTTTTTTTTTTTTTTTTAAATCTCTTATTTATTTTTGTTTTCACCTTTTATTCTTGTATTGCTTATACGTTATTTTTATTATTTTTTTTCCTCTTTTTTGTTGAATTACTTGTTTGCATTTTATTCTAGTTTTTATCCTTATAAATCAATCTTCCATCAAATCATGTGTTTGTTCATTTGCCATATTGGGATCTACTTTCCTTTTCATCATTAATTTATTCAAAGAAAACCCGATTTTAGGGGACAACACTTACAATGATATACTTCTTTCGTCCGAATTTTTTATGTCACTATGCTCAGGTATGGCTACTCAAAAGTAATAATATTTTAATATAAAAGCGAAGTAAAAAATATAAAAGGAGTATTATGAAAAATCTATGGAGTTTATAAAAAAATAATGAGGTAAATATAAAAAAAAAATAGTATCATACTGATTATTATTTGTTAAAGTATGAATAATAAAATTTTAAATCATTATTTACTATAAATAACTTATTTATAATTTTAGCGGACAATTAGAAAATAAAAGATGACTTAATTATCTCGGAACGATGAAGTATAATTTTAATTTTGGATTCTAGAAGATGGGGTGGTCACAGGTCGGAACTATGTCAAGTAAATATGGACAATTGGATTATATTTTTAATTAGTTTATGTACTTTTTTCTTCATAAAATATGATTTTTCTTACATTTGAATTGTTGTTGTATTATATTCTCTCTGTCTCAAACACTTGTAATATTTTTTTTTGTGTTCTAAATATTTTGCAATATTTTTAAAATAGAAAATAATTAAATATATTTAATCTATACTTCACATTTTATATCTATCACATCACTCAAATAAATATATGTTTTTCTCTCTCACCATGTCACTTCATTCTAAATTATCATATTTAATACTATTCACTCGAATTCATGTGCTGAAAATAAATGTTGCATTGTATTTGAGGTGGAGGGACTGTTATATCGTGTGCTAAATGAGTTCGGATGTTTAGAAAAAAAAATTATTATTATTTTCTTATATAATTATGTTGATTATCCGTTAATTGTGTTTTTTTCTTTTCAATTATGTATTGTGTTTAACTTTACGAATTAGTGTTTTGTTTTCATTTTATAAGAAAAAATAATTATATTTGTTTTTAATAATGTTATGAATTTATTTCAATGTGTGCTTCTTCTTAATCAACTTTGTGTTGAATCTGGATTAAGTATGTACTTTTTTCCTTTAAATTTTGTACTTTTTATAATTAAATGATTTACTATCATGTTTTTTATTTTATATTATTGAAATTATATTATATTACATTTTTTTTTTCTGTTGTAGAATTAATTTTATTTAGTTGCTGTCTTTTTTTTTTATAACGTGAGAACCCGCAACCGCTACTAGTCGAATACGCTATGCTCAGTGATATATTGATTTAGTTAAAATACTTGTTGAATCAGATTTTCCCCGGTCAGAATATCATTGGAACTTCAAATTGTACATCCAATTTTTCTTTCAAATCAATTTACAATCTTATTTTATTTATACCTCAACATATCCTCGACTGCTTGCTTATCATTCTTTGGGGGTTTGAATTTTGAGCTGAGATTTTTTTAAGTAAAAATTTTGAATTGAAATAGTTGTATGATGTAACTTTTGAATGTCAAATTAATTTTTAGTATAATATAAAAAAATTGAAAAATAAATGTTTAATTTGATATTTTTTAGAGAATAAAATTTGATGAATAATATATTTTTGGGGAAAATCCCATAAACAAACACACCCTATATGGTCTTTTCCAATTATAAAATCTCATAACTTTCCGACATCATCTCTTTACCTTATCATAATCTATCGAATTGAATGATACCATAATAGCCATTCAATTAATTTTTAATCTAATATATTAGAATTAATCAGCACCGTAGTAACAACTACCAAATATCAAAGACTTATTATAATATTGTAGTAAGATATCATGGCTATGCATGTTATTTTGTTTGTATATTACACTTTTCAATAATAAAAAAATATTTTAAAATAATATTTTTTTCTATCTCCATTCAAAGTACTTTTTTATTATTTTTATTTATCTTACTTCAAAGTATTATTTCCTAAATTACAAACATATCATTACACATATAATTACTAAAAGAAAAAAATATCAAAATTTTTTACATATTTCCACACTGAATAATAATATACTATTATTTTTTAATTTACTACAAAATTTAAAATGACTCCTTTGATTTGGAACAGAATTATTACTACAAAATACTCATCTAATCTAAACAACATTTTTGTCTTTTTTTTTTTTTACCATTTAAAACCAAAATCAATATTATTCATTCGACACAATTTTTAATAATAATATACTATTCTCCTCATAAAATATCATATCAAAAATGTTATTTAAACAAAAAATTCAAATCATCGTCTCATTTCAAACCACAACTAGATAGTATATTGTGTTTGTTTGTAAGGTTTGAGTTTTGAATGTGAATGTTTGATAGATTTTGAAGTTGAATTTCCTTAAATTTATTTGTTTGAGGTATGAGTTTTATAATAATTTTATAGTAAAAAATAATAAAATCATAAAATATTACAAAAAATAAAAATAAAAATGATGTGATAGTATTTAATAAATAGTTAATTGTAGAATTAAAAAAATAAAAAAAAGTTATAATTAATACATTATATAACTATAGAGTTTAAATTAAATACAAATAAAAAAATATTTTATAATAATAATAATTAAATTTTAAAATTAAATACAAATATAGAAGTACAGATTTTGCATAAGATTTGTAGTACCTAGTAGGTGTCGGTAATGAAATTGAAAACCCGACCAACACCCTACTACAAACAATACAAGTAAATATTTTAATTAATATTTAGTTCAATAAACCTAAATATTTGATAAGCATAAGATATATAATTTTCTATTAAAAATAAAATATTGAAAATTTATGAAGACATACATAACCAACCAATCACGCACCCCATGGCCATGCATCTCAATAATTATATATATATATATATATATATACACGAGGCGGGGGCTACAGTGTTATAATTTTCAATTCAGCACTGCGCTGAACAGCGCATATCATACAATATTATTACAGATAATATATTGTATATGTTAATATAATACAAATACATCACATATAGCTGACAAAAACTGACCCGACACGACAATCCGATACGAAATAATTAGGTTTGGGTCAAAGATTTCAACCCGATTATGTATACGGGTTGACACGAACCCGACACGATAAGATTTCAACCCGATTATGTATACGGGTTGACACGAACCCGACACGATAATAAACGTGTCGGGTTAGTGTTGAGACTCTCAACTCGAACCCGACACGACAACCCGACTATAATATATTAATATTGATTAATATTTATTATGTATGTAAAATAATCATAATTTATTAATTTTCTCATAAATTAATTTAAACTAAGTTTAATTTTAAATAATTCAACATAATTTAGGCTCAAATCAATAAAAACTAACATAACACAACAACACAACAAAAAATTATTTAATTTGAATCAAGAAATTCGACTTAATTATGTATGCGGGTCAACACGAGTCAACCCGAACCTGACACGATAATAAACGGGTCAACACGAACCCGACACGATAATAAACGGATTGGGTTAGGGTTAAGTAATTTAATCCGTTTAAAGTATTCAACCCGACACGAATTGACTCATTGCCAGCTCTAACATCACATGAACTAACAACACATGTTATAATCTCGTACAACACGCTTGATTTTTAGTATATAACATACTCTTATACAACATATTTGTTATCATAAAAAACAACACATACCCTTATTATAGACGACATATGTTGTATATAATAATATTGTATGTTGTTTGTATATATAACATATGCTGAGTTGAAAAATCATGGTACTGATTTTTTTCAAATCAGCACCCTAACCATATATATATATATATGTATGCATGTTTCAATGGAATGAAAATAAAATCATATTCTGAATCTGAATTGGACAACATAACATAACATAGCTAATCATGCATATACGTTGATCCACAAAAATAGCAAAAACAATTATTGTTAAATATGGTCGTCTATTCATCATCAGTCAACTGCTTAAATTCAGATCAATTCAACAAAATAGTACTTACTAATTAATAATAATAAAATTCCCTGAGATAGATGAGAAGCCAAATACCATATATATATATATATATATATATATATATATGATCGATCCATCCAAGTACAAACTCTCAAATCTGTCGCCTCTGTCCGCCTGACCTTGCGATGATTTCATTCTCAATCTGCACCAAATATTTAATTCTTCAATAAAACAGTAACAGTAGACAGCTCCAAAAATTAAATCAAATTTGCAGTTTGATACATAGAATGAGAATGGAAAGAAAATTAGAAAAATGCAAATGTAATAAGAAGCATAGAAGGGATGAGTTTTCCTCAGCATCATTACAAAGAATACTTTAGGGCAGCACACTTTAGTTTACCAACAAAAGAATAATGCAGTAAAATTGAAGTATATATATGTAAAATAATGAAATAACTTGTCACCAAATCGACTAAAAAATCAAATTTAGTTTCGGTACCACCATAAGATGGTTTTTAACTCTAGTCCCATTGTATATTGGAGTATGTGAATCAGGCCAAAATTAACATGGTGTAGCCTAAAATCCAAAATCTCAAAATGTGTTAAAAGTAGAACACAACAATAAATTCTATATAAATAAAAAGAGACCATTTTTTTGTATCTTAAGAAGACATGGAGGAACTCCTTTAGCTGTTATAGAGCCTCCAAAAGAGCTTCTTTTCTTCTATGGAGTACAAAACATACTATGTAATGTTTCCTATCTATGAAAAACATATGAATATATAATTAGCTAATTGTAACTGGCAAACTGCTGTCGTTTATAACTGTAACATAAACCGATAAGGGTAACCTGTGAAGGAACCAGCCTTAAAACTTAGGGGAGCAAAATGTCAATTTACATTTTTTTTATTTAATATCTTTTTTTTCCTCCTAATGCAACCGGATAAAAAAAAAAAAAAAAGCTAAAAATTAAATTTTTAGAAAAATATTTAAGAAAATTTAATAAAATTTAACAATTTCTACTAAAAAATTAAAACCTAAAAGTATAAATCAACAAAACTACAAAAATTTTATTATTTTTAACACTGTAACATAAAAAAATAAAAAAATAGGGGGCAAAATAATAAAAAAATACATAATTTTATTATTTCTTATACTAAAAAAATCTTATATTTTAAGGGTTGGGGGTCAGCTGCCCCCTAGCCTCTGTGTAGTTTCGTCTCTGAGGACAATGGCCGGGAATGAATATGGAGCTACATCACACCAGCTATTCTATCTAGAAGGGAATTTCATTTTTCGTAGCAAAAGTTAATTAAAAAAAACGATAATAAAAGAAGATTGAGTCTTCAAATTTCATTCAAACAGCTATAAAAGAGTTATCATCGTATTGAATTCAACTTTCTATTTGAACAAGATTGAGTCTTCAAATTTCATTCAAAGTTCACACATATGAAGGTTCACCACAGTGAGGAATGCCAATGATATTAACATTCTGATTCTGATATCGTTGCCAAAATCAGCATAGGATTATTTGCAAGACCATGGAATGCATCACAAATAATTACCATTAAAGCACAAAAAACCACTGAGAAAGACATTAAAATCAAATAAAATGGGAACATTGTTTGCTCACCTCGACAATGATGTCTAAATGGTCCTCAAGATACTTCTGCTCGTGCTTTATACCATCCAGAGCCCAGATACATCTAAATGAATATAAGCAGCCATTAGTCACGAGGTCGTGATGAAATTCAGTGTGAAGGATTACGATACACAAATGTTGTAAGTTCATATTTGTCTTTCTTCTTCTCCTCCTCCATTTACCCTTTCTCAGTATATTAAGAAATGTCTTCCCTTCAATAACTTCCTTTTCTTCCCACAGATTCTTTTCTGCTTAGATTACTATTTCCATCTCTTAACACTATTAAAATTTCATGGTTCTATATATTTTAACACAGACTAGGAATAAGTTGAAAACTGCATTATATACTCAAACTGGAAAGTCCTTAATAGGATGACCATTTTCGATTTTTAGAATCAATAATGTTGTGCATATATATTATTAAGATGCAATATGGTTTCAAATTTCGAGACACTTGGGCAAAGAACAGCAATGATTGAATTGTCTTTCTGCATTAAGTGAAACCGAGCAGTTGGATGTGAACCTCAAACTATGACATGTTTAAGGTTATTCAACACTTTTTCTTTTGTGTGTGTGTGTGTGTGTGCGACTATAGCTGCACATCTCTGGTTTTTTCCATCCCTACATGCTTAGATTTGAACTTATGAATATTTTGGCTCTTTATGAACCCAAAGAGTCAATTCTATAAAGGATCTCAAAACTACGATATGAAGATTAAATAAATGAGCAGAAAATGGGAAAATTTTAGAGCTAGGGAAGTATCTGCTTTTACCTCTCTTTGGATTTGTTCTCAATAGCCTCATATAAAGTAGCGCATGCCTCTCGGACTCGACAAGCACCAAAGCTGCAAAGGAAGCAATGAAATGCACAAATGTAAGCATAACATTGAGACAACGGTAAGTCTTAAGAAAAACAGAGCATATTGTTCTCTTTAACATAATGGAAGCTCCTGCAAAGTAAATAAGGATATAGTTCAGATGAAACTGAAACTAGATATGCATTGAAGGATAAATTCCACATCGTGTTCCGAATAGCATATAGATCATAAATCTACATCAACACTTTAATGCTTTTAGAGAAAAGAAAAAAGGACAAAAAAGTAGAGTAATACCATGATGAACTTCCTTTAAGCTTGATAAAGTCCAAATACATTTGCCTGAAGTTCATAACTGGTTGATTCCTTGAAATGAACAAAACAGCAAATTCAAATATCGAAATCCATTTGATATCAATAAATACGAGTATAATAGAGTCATGAGAAGAACATACAATGCATCTGTCATATCGTTGATTGTTTTCTGAACATCATCCTTAAATATTGGAATCAGCTCCACAAAAAACTTAATACCATTGCCCTCCTTCAGTGAATAGCAATTCCGAAAGTGTTGATCCACCAACCCCTGGAAACATTTTAACTGGTTAGCTGTATGTTCATTGCCATGCACCGATTAATGCAATAAAAATGAAAGAAGCCTTCACTCGTTTTATTCGAAGCGGCTGATGCATTGAAAAAAGCCTACATATGTATTAAGCTGACGAAAAATTGAATACATACAAACATGGCCATTCCTTACTTTTTATAGGCCGGGGCGAGGGCGAATTGATAAATAAGGGTCCTCTGTTACATGACTTGTATGTAAATAATAATATGCAAGATAATTAAAAGTATGATGTGAGAAGTAGATAACAAATGTAATAACTTTTGCTGATATATATATATATATATTAATTAGTCGTAAAACAATTATGGGCCGCCTCTCGGGACTGGGCCCTAGGCGAGTACCCACTTTGCCCTCGCCCAAGGCCGGACCTGCAAACAAAATTATTGATGCATACATGCATGAAAAGGCCAACAAATTAATATGCTGCCTTATATTTCAAATTTTACAGACTCACTTTCACACATTCAAAAGAAATGCATATGCATTCGTTAATACAGACACCATGCTAGTGACAAATGACAAAGGTTTTTTTGGAATATCATCAAGGAGTTAGTGCAACCGGGGAAGCAAATGTATGTAATGGAACATTTTACCACCCGCACATTCAATCAATTCAAGAATGCCTTCAGATCTCAAAAAATTATACAACCGGCCTAGGACACAGTACAATACATACATACATATATATATATATATATAGATAGATTTTTGTGTGTTATCGAACACTCACTGCTCATTAATTACTTGTCAATATTGCTCATGTTCCTTTTTGGTATAGTTTCGCCAATTCGTTCTTTGCTTCCCATATAAAATTAGCAATTGAAGGTCGGTTCATAAAGAAAGGCAAAAATGGAAAAAAATAAATAAAAAAGCGGGGGGTGGGGGTGGGGGTAGGGCACGAAACAAAACATTTACAGTAATAATATAAAGAAATCTAAGGAATCAAGTAGATAATTACCTTTTGCTCGAGTTCTCCAATGCGAACGAGCATCAACTGTTTGAGCGACTCCACATCCATCATCCGGTAATCCATAATCCCCAAAATACACAATCACCAACACGCGAAGCTAGCTATTTAAACGAAACAAACTCCTCAGTGCATGATCACGAGCGAAGCGAAAAAAATAAAGGAAACCAGAGGGAAAGCAAAAGGAACTGCAATAGGAATAGGAACTGGAACAGGAACAGGAACAGCAAAAAAGTAAAAGGAAAAAGGAAAACATCACATACATTCACAAAATCCGCGCAGAATGAATATCCCAAATTTCGAAACAAACGATGAAAGCACAATTCTCGGTCACGCTTCGCATTCTTCAGCCATCAGAGAACATGGAAGCAATTTTCTCTCGTCTGTGTTCTTGCGCCGCCGCCGCAATATATATATATATATATATATGAAGGGTTTGATTTTCTGTAAAAACTATAGATACAAAAAGTGTTGAGTAGGATTTCGATGTCCTCAAGAAATTTATTAAGCAATGTATAACTACTATCTCTTTATATATATATATACATGTCTGTTGAGTGAGTGTGTTTGTTTGTATATTTGAATTAGTGATTATATATATATATATGTATGAAATATAATTATAATTTTTATGGGGAATGAAATAAAAACTAATGAATTTATTTTCTTTTGTTATTACATTTTTTTTTCTAATATTTGTATTTTAAAAATAAAAATATAAAATAATAATTCAATATAATAATTTTTTAAATAGTAAAAAAATAAAAATATAATATAAACAAACAAACAAACAAACGACTGAAGTTTCTAGATTTGATATTTCGGGTGAGTATATTGAAAATAATAGGTATGTTGTATTTTTAGTATAATAATAATTTACTTTCTTAAAAGAACGTATCGTAAAAAAAAGTCGAGATCTTTCTTATTTGAGTCGAGACTTTTCTTATTTGTACTTTAAAAATAAAAATATAAAATAATAATTTAATATAATATTATTTAAATAAATACTGAAATCAATTCGTTCTAAATCAATTTCAAATTATAACCAAATAAATTGACAATCTTTGAGCAATTTTTTAATTATTATAAATTGCATAACATGAAAATACAAATATTATGAAAAAAAGACCTTAGATAATGATAAAATACAATTAATTGGTCATGTGTACAATTCCCACACAATTTGTCAACTTAGATAAAAATTTAAATATAAGTAAAACTAATTATAAATTAATATTCCTTCCGTCCCACATAATTTGTCTCTATTTTTTATTTTCGTCTGTCCCATCTAACTTGTCTTTTCTATTTTTTAAAATATAATTATGCACTTTAATCACATTTTAAATTTTAAATTTTATAATTTTTTTAATTTTAATTAAACTATTTACTTATCTTAATCTTAATCTATAATTATTCTTCTGAACAATAATTATTTTTACTAATACACTTCTTAATATCTTACTAATTATACTTTACTTAAATTCTCGTGTCTACAGTAATACACCCATATTACATGGACGGAGGAAGTAATAATAATACATTTGCCACATTTGTCAATAAGGGTATGCTTTTTTTATTAGTAATTTAAATATAATATTTTATTTAAAAAATGTAGTTTATATACAAATATTTAATGGCTTTTTGTTAATGTTCATTTAGAGATTAAATTAATGTTTGCATTTGAATTCGTTTAACATTAATAATTGTTGAGTTATGAGTTCTTGTCTTGTCTTACCTAAAATAATACTTCTTCCATCGGCATCGTTACATTTACCCTTTGCGTCATTATATTTAATTTTGTATAATATTTTGTACAAATATTCTTTTATTAGTATTATAAAACACTAATTGAAGTATTTTTGTATTTTTTTCTTAATTTGTATACGTTTGATATAATAATTAATATTTAAATATCAACACGCAAAAAATAAATAAGATCTTTAGAATCGGACGAAGAGAATATTATAACTCTGGAAGATTTTATTGCTAGTTCAAAGCAACTTATGAACCATACAATTTATAATTAAAATATATATATTGACTTTGTTGATCCAATTCCATTATTTAGTATTTATAATGATAATAATAACTTATTTTAATTAGATAGAGAACATCAACTAAGATATATGAATATGTGTTAAAGTTAACTGAACAAGCGGACACAAACCTTCCCGTCGTTGCGAGCTCTTAGGGAAGATCAGCCAGTTATCCCTAGAGTAACTTTATTTCTCTTTTACCAATTAAGAATGCATCCTTGCTCATTACAAACTTCAAATCGGCATATCAATAGGTGTGTTTAGTTAAAAATGTATTTATAGTAATTCCCATGAAGAGTAGATAGGACAAAATATTAGGTTTTAGTTGTAATGAAGAAATACGACAAAATAGCAATGCTAACGTGTTCTGAATAAACTTCGAGTGAGCGTTAAAGATCAAGACAAAATTAAATGAGTTCATCAACAATACGTATCGATCTACTGCAATAAGCATGTGACATAGCCCGATCGCCTTTTAGGAGAGTTTCACTGATTAAAATCTAAGAAATTGATGAGATATTCGATCAAAAACAAATTTAGGAATTTGTGCATGATTTTAAACTTATATAAAAATTTAACTGAAACTTAAAAGTTGCCGCCAATCCTAAATATTTAGGATAGTTTCATTAAAAACTAAGATTTGAGTTTGAACGTTGACTTATACAAAAGTTCTATTAAAATGTAAAAGTTTGCGGCCGATCTTAAACTTTTACGAGATTTCATTAAAAGTTAAGAATTTGAATTTAATCTCGAACTTTTACAAAAATTTCTTTAAAAACCTACAAGTTTGAGCCCGATCTTGAGCCTTTATGAAAGTTTCACTAAAATCTATAAGTTTGATAATAAGCACACGAATGGGGATAAAAGAACCTACACAAAATAAATAAATTTATAAATTAAATACACATACATCTATAATATAAATATAATATTTGCATATGGAAATATATGCTTTAATAAATATACCTCATAAATATTAAATTTTATATGTGAAATATTCCATTAAACTCATAAATAGGTATTTATTTATTTTTTTTTTTTTTTAACGTATAAAGTTTTAAAACATTAATATTGAATTCGTGCACTTAGCGTTTTTAAATGAATTAATTTTTGGTATATAGTATAAAGAATTGTGTTAAAAATATAAAATATATTATTTTAAGTTGAATATGTTGAGTTTCTGATTTTTTGTAATGAATATTTGATGTTTTATTTTTTTACTTTTTGACTTTTATAAAAAAATATTTTGTATTGTTATTATTATTTTTGAGGAATCGCAATTCAAAATTAGAGTTGGATGAACAAAACCATTATATTTATACGTTGTATAAATTAAGAAAAATAAATTCTATTAATATTATATAATACAAATATAATAATATTTTTAATGTTAGTTAAAATACTAAAAAGCACGTAAATTCCTTACAAGGGAAAGGGAAGAGAATTTATATCCGTGTAAATAAATAAAATTAGATACTTTTGCACATATGCTCAATATAGTGGACATAATTACTCCTTCCGTCCCACGTAATATACTGTAGACACAGAAATTTAGGTAAAATATAATTAGTAAGTAATTAAGAAATGTATTATTAAAAATAATTATTATTTAGTAAAAATAATTATAGATTATGATTAAGATAAGTAAATAGTTTAATTAAAATTAAGAAAATTATAAAATTTAAAATTTAAAATGCGATTAAAGTGCATGATTATATTTCAAAAAATAGAAAGGACAAAGTTATATGAGATCAAACGAAAATAGGAAATAGGGATAAATTATGTGAAATGGAGGGAATATTACATATAAACAAATAATGTTATATACTGCAAATATACATAAACAATATAATATATATATATATATATATTTTGTGAAAAACAAAAAAACTATATATATTGGAATAAGTATTGGATTCGTCAATCCGACATTATAATATATATATTAAAGAGTGGCTATGGATGTCCGTTCGTACAAGCGGAGCGAGCGAGCAATGAATGGTATATTTTATTGATATATTTTAAATATTCGGTTTTCGGTTTTATAAATTAGTGAATTTATATTTAAATTTGGTATTATTTATAGATTATATTACTTAGATTTGAGTCTATTGAATCTGTTTTGTATTGCTTATAAATATACTCATTATTTTGATTAATAAGAAAATTTCTTTATTTTCTCCCAAAATTTCTAACATGGTCTCAGAGCCCGATTTTTCACAATCAAAACCCTAGCTGCCGCCACCGCTATTCGCCGTCCATCGCCGCTCTCCGGTCGACACCATCCATACCATTGGAACCGCCGTCTTCCGACGACCTTGCCACCGAAAAATCTCCGCCAGCGCATCCGCCCTCCTCCGGCCGTCGTTTTTCGGTCGCCGTCTCCTGCTTTGGTTCCCTACGTCGTGGTGTAGTTGGTTTGGTCATCGGAGTTGATTTCGTTTTGCGACTGTTACCAGTTGGTTATTCGATTTGATTTCTCGATTTCTTGATTTATACCGGCGTGATTGGTTTTGTCATCGGAGTTGATTTGTCATGGCTTCCTCAGTCCAGAATCTCGTAACTCTCTTGCATCAAGTTCTTGTTTCCAATTCCCCTTCTAGTATGAAAAATTTGTGGTATCTTAATTCTGGTTGCTGCCATCATATGACACCTACACTTGGCCTCTTGACTGATGCGCATCATGTGTCTTCCTATGCATACTGTTAACGGGAGTCGCATGGATATCACTCATTCAGGATTTGTATCTCTACCATTTATATCTCTTCCTGATACTTATTGTATTTCTCAATTGACTTTAAATCTTGTATAAGTTGACCAACTAGTTGAGCAAGGACTTACTGTTACCTTTTCTTATTTGGAGTGCAGGTTTAGTATCCACATACGGGTCAAATTCTTGTAACATGTCGAAAAATGGGTCAACTATTTGATGTACAATCTTTGAAAATTCCTCCAAGTAATTCCTCTGCTGCTACTACTCATATCCCTCTTAATACATTTTCTTCCCGTAGTCTTCAATGGCACATTCGTCTTGGTGATGTGTCTTCCTCTAAAATTCAGTCTCTCGTTAGTAAGAGTCATTTGGGTCCTACTCGTTTTGAGTCATTTGATAACTTACACTGTCATTTGGGAAAACAACCAACCTTACTTTTTCAAAAAATATATTGGTCGCCAGTAAACCGTTTTACTTAGTTTATTATGATAATTGGGGTCCTTCCCCTGTTCCCTCTGTGGGCGAGTGTCGTTATTATGTCATTTTCATAGATGATTACTCCCGGTTTACATGGATATATTTTTTGAAACACCGTTCAAAATTACCTCAAACATACATTCAATTTGCTCAAATGGTTCGAACTCAATTTTCTTGTCTCATACAGACTCTCCATATTGATAATGCCTTTG